GTAGAGTGAAAAATATTTTTAAATTGTTAATAAATATTTTTGAAATTGGCGCGTTATTATTCGTGTTAGTTCGGTAAAACTCGGAATGGTAGAATAGTGAGGGGAATGGACAGACAGGTCGTATTCGAGGAACAACGGAACAGGACCATTCTGTACGTCGCGGAAGAATGCGTAGCCATTGTTGGTGCTGCGATCGTTAGTTTCTAGATCCGAGATCGTCATGGGTACGGAAAGCCATCTAATTGTACGAGACTCCAGGAAAATGTCGGTGGAGCTCGGTACGGGGCACTGATACGATATTAGTGCGAGAGATCGACGTCCGCATTCGTAAGTGTGGAACTAGTTGGTCGGGCCGCGTCCGCGTTCGTCGCGTATGCGAACCGAGCGCTCGCGCTCGCACGAGTGAGAGTGAGTGAGTGATACGGTGGGGCACACTCGGCGGCGGCCATAACACCGACCAACCAAACTAGCAAGCAGGGAGAAAGCGTAGTGCGAGTGTCCAAGACGTAGTGGTAGTGTTTTTCGATAGAATTCCTGTGAAAAGTGGACTTCCATTGATCAGGTAAGTGATTACAAGTAATTTTGAAGTTTCTGGGTCCGTTGATGATAAGTATAGCGCGTGGTGTATGCCGTGGTGATGCGTAAGTGGCGGCTGTAGCGGCGGGCCCTTGAGAGCTTTCTTTCTCGAGCGGCCATACCGCCATGTTGAAACCTACGCCAAATCGAGTGATCGAAAAGGCAGCTCGGGTATTCCGCGCGCGCCAGAATTGTCCGATGTGAGAAACGTTAAGATATCTGCGTCAGTCGAGCGCTCGGCTAGATTCTCACACGGCGGCTTGCTCGTGTTTGTTGTGCGTCGGCTGGGTGCATCGGCTGGGCGCGGGTCTGCTACCCTTCCCCTCGTCATCCTCTCCTACTTGTCCTCCTCCTCTTTCCACTCCCGCATCCATCGCGTTTATTTTTCTCCCATCGTCTCTCGCGAATCTCACCTTTCTTCTTTCTTACTTTAATGACTTTTAACCACCAAGCACCTGTTCGCCCCGCGAACTCTTTTTATCTCTGCCCTTGATACTCGGATTTCTACGAGTAGAACGTCTTCGCGGCATGGATTGTTCTGGCAATGCTCGTCTTCACCACGGTAGAAGCTTTTGCTTCCCATGGTTGAAATCTTATGGTCGTTCGCGAGATCGTTTTTTTCTTATGCATTGTCAATTTTGTATTTTAATAGTCAGCTCACTTTCTATACTAGTGTACCAGTTATTTGTGCTACTTTTATCAAACTTTCCATTTTGGCTTATACTGGTTTCGAACAACAGGGTATGCACATTGATTCTTGTATACATTTGTAGATATCACTGTATGTCAGAAGTATTACACTTTGGACATGCTATTCCTGATTGATATTTTCTTTCTTAAAATTGTTGCATTATATCTTATTTACATATATCTTCTTGATATTTCTTAACTTCGTCGTATGAAGCTCTTTGCTGTTTTGTCATTTAACTTTATATTTTAAAGTTCTCATAAAAAAAAAATAAACTATTAAAAGGTTGTAAATTGTCAAATTATCTATATATTTTTAACAAAATATAGAAGAACAGATTTAAGGGAGACTAAACTTTGTTTATTTGCTTTTTGCATCATGTTTATTAGATTATTATATGTTGTTTACATTAAAATAATAATAGTAATATGTAAAATAGTTTAGTATTATATAAAAGATTAAAAAGATTATATTTTAATTATATATATGTATATATATATATATGTGTGTGTGTGTGTATACATATATATATTATTTTTTTATAATTAATATTAAAACATTTAGTTCTTTGTTTATTTTGGTTACAAAGAACACTTTTCACAAGTATCTGGATATTATAAGTACATATTATTTAATTTGATACATGCATTTTGTCTTATTGTTGTTTCATAAATTATATAGTTTTCAGTTACAAAATTTTCATAAACAATGATAAATGATAAACAAGAAAGGTGTAAAAGAGCAATTTGAACGTATTTCAACATAATAGCAAATACATATCATTAATCTATGTATAATAAAATGAAAAAAATATTTACGCAGCATGTATCTTATACATTCAGTTTTGCATGATATGTTAAATAATTTACTGATAAATATATAAAATTTGCAAATATATCAATGTTTAACTTGCTCTAAAGTGATAAAACAATTTGGGGTTGTTACAATACGGGGTCCTGTTGTTATGTTATCCAGATGTTGCTAATGTCGCGAGTCTTGGCTGGAGGTACGGAGTCTCACAGCAGTGTACAGGGCTGACATTCAAAGTACTACCATTTGGTAGGCTTGAGTAGTGTTATGCCTCCACGGCACCAATCTCCCTGGTTGCAGCGCAATCATCTTGGCAAGCAATTAGTGAGCTACCATGCTCAATTCAGAATATATCCTTGCCATCTCAATTGTTGATGAAGCCTCATAGCGTCAAGCATCAACGTAAGGCAGTTACCTGCTGCATAGCATTTATGTACCATATATGTCGGAAAGGTAGGTGAAGCTCATTACCGTGGACTTGATGAGCCTTATATTATAAAATACACCTAGTTATTTCATGAAATGTGAAGTTTGATTGTATCAGTTGGAGTTTGACATCTCTCTCGTTTAATGACTCCTGCAATTTCGAGAGAAGGCAATAAAAATGGTTACTGATCTAAGAAAAACATTGAAAAGCGTGGTATTTTGTGACTTTATGTTACAATAATAAAATAAAATAGGTTATATACAAGTGAGTTTTAAAAATAAAAATATTGTAAGCCCACAATGTGATCTAAAATTGATGCTGAATATTTTAAATCTTTTTTTTTATGTTTGTTTATGAAAATTATTTACACACTTGTTTTTTTTTGTTACAGAAACGAAGCCAAGATGCAGCAGGTGGACACTATCTCGCAAAATAATTCGGTAAGTTATAGATTATTATCTCATGTTATATCAATTTAAAATGCAGCTTGCTTATTAATCTACTAATGCTATACAAAAAGCTGTATTCAGTTATATATATTTCCCTCGATCATAATCAACATAATGTATAATAACAATATGTGGAACTATGTTATTTTATTCTTTATGATTTTTATTCCTTTTAAAAAGAATAAAAAATATAATAAATAGTAAAAAAGAAAAAAAATAGATTTTATTTCATTATATTTAATATCAAATACATATTATATCAATGTTTTTTCAATTATCAATATTTATTTAAGTGTTTCACATTAGAGATTTTATTAATATTTATATAAAATATTTTTAAATCTTGGAATTATATAGAAATACAAATAGAAATTATAATTTATATTAAAATTTAAATTTTTATATGCTTTTTTAACTAGATATTTAATTTTGTAATTAGTAACCATTTTAATTTATATCTATTTTCTAATTTATATCTGCTATTTACTTTTAAATACATTATTCAAAAAAAGCCAAAGTTAAGATTGTATTATTGTGTATGTCCTTATTCCTAGCATTATGTTGAGCATAATTTTTCTTTATGTAATGAAATTGAGCGCTGTTTGATTGAATGGTATGTATGAATTACAGTTAGATGTGGAGGAGCGAGAAAGGCTGTGTAATATACCGAAGGTGAGATTCCTTGTTGACTAGGATATATATGGTTAAAATATGAAATGGCAGCTCCAAATATCAAGAGTAATTTGTATTTTTGCTTCTATAGTTTATATAAAATTATACATAAAAAGTAAGAAATATTAAGAAATAAAGAATATAAAATTATTAAATAAATTAATTTTTGTACATTTTTGTATATTACTTATGAAGCAAAATACTTTTTGCTCAATATATTTAAGTTTTATTTGATATAAAATATTCAACGTGAATTTTTAAAGCTTGCAAGTCATTTCATACAAAATATAATTTAGATATTAATATTTTTACATATTTTATATATAGCATTTTTTTATAGTAAAGAAAATTTAATTTTCTTTAATTTTTTTTATTTTACTTTATTTTTTGTTTTTTTTGTTTTTTTATTTTTTTTGTTTTTTTTTATTTTTTTTGTTTTTTATATCTTAAATGCATGATTGTATGAAATGACTTAGAGTTGCCATTATTTTTCAGTTGGAAATATTTTTGTAACACATATATTTTTATTATATACTCAATTAGACGTCTATTAAAAAAAATTCTAAATTGCTTGCCTGTGGTTATGGAATTTAAATATTTAGCAGCCTAATTCGCTCGTTGCATGAATGGGTTCATCTACTTTTATGATGCATGAATCTTGTTAATGTTCCTAAATTTTATATGTACGAAATTTTAGATAATAAATCGATAAAATTATTTTAATTTATTATATATTAAGTATATTCTAGTAGAATTTTAAGAAAGTATTTCTTAAAATATTTTGATAATCTTTTTTATTTATAACAACACAAATGTTAATCAAATATTAATTTTAATAAAATTGAAGCATGAGCTATATAATAACATCATTTCTAATTTCAGTTAATTTACATTTAATTGATATGAGAAAGTAATCGTAGTTTATATTTGCTTTGCAAAAGACTTTTATTTTTATGAAATTAATGTTATATATAAAAAGTAGTCATAGAACTAACTAATAAAATAAAACTATATCAATAAAAAATATATCTATAAATGTAAATTGGAAAATACAGACAAGTGCACCTGGTAAGACATCGACTACACCAGCAACTCCTGCAAAGGAGCCACCACCACGTGATGAACCACCCGTGGAACCGGTGAATGGTGTAGTCCAACCACCTGTTGTGCCTCCACCTAATCGTCCAGGGCGTGTAACCAATCAACTACAATTTCTTCAAAAAGGTGTACTCAAACCAGTATGGAAGCATCAATTTGCGTGGCCTTTTCAACAACCTGTAGATGCCAAAAAACTCAATTTGCCAGTATGTAGATATTATTTATATTATTTATAATATATTTTTTATTATGTAAATATATATAAAAAGTGTAAAATCATAAAAATAAATATCTTAAAAATTGATTTTATATTTATAAATTCAATAATAGGATTATCACAAAATTATAAAGCAACCAATGGATTTGGGTACAATCAAAAAACGATTAGAAAATACATATTATTGGAGTGGAAAAGAATGTATTCAAGACTTCAATACCATGTTCACCAATTGTTATGTTTACAACAAACCTGGAGAAGATGTTGTGGTTATGGCACAAGCTCTCGAAAAATTGTTTCTTACCAAGGTAATTATTTTTTCAAAATATTTTGATATTGATAATATTTAAAAAATATGTAATTATATATATATTATATATATGATATTATAAATATTAATAAAATCAGGTTGCACAAATGCCAAAAGAAGAAGTGGAGCTCGAACCTCCTGTTCCAAAGGGACCCAAAGGTAAAAAGGCTGGCAAAGTTGGAGCACCAGTAGGCGGCGTAGCAGGAGGTGCGGGAGGTACAGGTCGAGGTCGACCTTCTTCTGGTGCAGCTGCAGTTACTTCCAGTGTACCAAATAGTCTAACGCCTTCAGCTACTTCAGCTGGGACAACAGGTGTAATTCCCATGCCTCCTCTTGGCACCCAAGCACCTGCATCTGTACCTGGGAGCACAAATACAACTACTATTGCTCCTCCATCAAGTATGGGAGTTAGTCCCATGGCTACACATAATTCTTTGCCTCAACAAGTGGTCCCTCCAACTAGTGGTTACCATGCACAACCAGCAATGGATCCACAAGCAGCTTCTGCTGTACCTCCTCCTCCACAAGTTCCCACTGCACCTACGGTAATGCCTCCATCCCAACCAGCAAAACTTAAAAAAGGAGTGAAGAGAAAGGCTGATACTACGACTCCTACTGCAAATTCTTTTGAACCTTTATATAAACTGGATCCTAAAAATGCCAAAATACCTACAAGGCGAGAATCTGGCAGACAAATAAAAAAGGTAAAATATTATATTTTATTTATTTAATAAGTTATTCGTACATTGAATTTTCTTAAAAATGTTTATGTGTTTTTTTCATAAAATCTTCATATTGAACATGCAACCTATTCATAATTTAATCACTTATTTAAATGTAATGCAATACTTTTACTTATAAAAAGCGATATCTTTTAATTTAAATTTTTTCAATTGTTTCATATACAATAATAAAATTTTAACAAAAAAATTACTATCTTAGATTACATCAATTTTTAATAATTATCTCAATAGGTCAAAATATCATGTATATTCAAGTATTTTAATTCCTTGCATGTTGTAATCATATCATCCATTAATACATTAACAAAGAGATCATAACATGGCTGTTTCAGCCAACGAGGCAAGCGGAAGACGGCTTAGTGCCATTCCATCAGCCTAATATGCCCCTGATGGGGGCAATGGCCCAACAGGTACATTTATTACTACTCCTTCATGCTCCTTCCTTTCATTTGTGTTGTCTCATCATTTCAAGCGAATTTAATGTTTAAAAAAAGAAAAGAAAGAAAAAAGCAAATAAATTATAGAAATTTATATTTAAATAGCAAAATATTCTGCATAAATTTTTCTTTTTATTTATATTTCTCAAATTTTAAATCATAGTATAAATAAAATTTTTTTTTATAATTTATAATGTTTGAAAATATAATTTAATATTTTAAGTTTATATATAATTATATATATAATTATTTATGTATTATTATTTTACAGCCTCAACACACAACTGGAAAGTCTAAAGAAAAACTTTCAGAAGCTTTGAAGTCTTGTAATGAGATTTTAAAGGAATTATTTTCGAAAAAACATTCGGTAATTAAATATAAATCTTATACAAATAACAAAAAATACTTAATTATTATAATTTTTATAATTTTTATCTTAATTATTTGTAGGGATATGCATGGCCCTTCTATAAGCCAGTTGATGCTGAACTCTTAGGTCTTCACGATTATCATGACATTATAAAAAAACCAATGGATCTTGGTACTGTAAAGGTAGTGATTTTTAAATTAATATTATATCACATGATTTTAAAAAACTGTATATTTAATTGATATAATTCTTTTTTTGCAGACAAAAATGGATAATCGTGAATATAAAACAGCACAAGAATTTGCTAGCGATGTGCGACTCATATTTACTAATTGTTATAAATATAATCCTCCAGATCACGACGTTGTAGCAATGGCTAGAAAACTCCAAGATGTGTTTGAAATGAGGTTTGTTTTTTTATAAATATTAAAACTATAATTTTTATTTATTCTTATCATCTTGTTTGATTAAATACAATTTTTAATAAATTAGGTACGCAAAAATCCCGGATGAACCAATGGGAAGTATAGTAGTGAAAGGTAGCAGTAGTAGTGCCAGTAGTTCCGGATCCGAAAGTTCTTCTGAAAGTGATGATTCAGACGAAGAACGTACTCAAAAATTAGTTGCTTTACAGCAGGAGGTACATTGTAACCTTTTTCTTCTATACTGATATAATTTTTTTATGAATGTAACATAAAGAAAAATAATCTACCTTATAGCTGAAAGCTATGCAAGAACAAATGAGAAAATTAGTAGAAGAAAGTGGTAAAAAGAAGAGTAAAAAGAAGAAACCGGATAAGACAAAGTCAAGGCCAATGGGCAATAAGAGTAGTAGTCTTGTTGCCAGTCATACTGGTGCCATGAAAGAACTAATGAAACCAAGTGGTGGAATTCCAAGTGTCTCTGATAGTGTTGGTGCTAGTATAGCCAGTGTTGCAATGGGAGGTGATTTGAAAATGCCAGGTGGTATGGGTGGTGATCTTCATCATCCAGCAATAGCAGTAGGACCTAATAAAACTCATGCAACAGGAAGTATGAGTCATCATTTGCCAACAGCGGCAAATGCTAAGACAAAAGGTGGAAAAGGACGAGGACCTGGGAAAGCTGCAACAACAAATACTACAAATAAAAGGCCAAAAGCAAATAGTAGATCAGCTGGAACTAAAAAGAAGAACGCTAGTAGTCAACCACCACCAATTACGTTTGATTCTGAAGATGAGGATAATGCTAAACCAATGTCTTATGATGAGAAAAGACAACTTAGTTTGGATATTAATAAATTACCTGGTAATTAAATAATAATTAATAATATAAAAAAATTCATATTTTATACATAAATCTTTTTTCATAAAATTGTTTTTTTTTTTTCTATATTACAGGAGATAAATTAGGACGAGTTGTGCATATAATACAATCTCGAGAGCCTTCATTGAGGGATTCTAATCCAGATGAAATTGAAATTGATTTTGAAACATTAAAACCATCCACATTGAGGGAATTAGAGAGCTATGTTGCTTCATGTCTTAGAAAAAAGCCACGTAAGCTTTATTTTAAGTTTTATTATTATTTCTTTTACCGAGGTCATTTTATAATTAGATTCTTATTTTTTACAAAAATTTTAAAGTACATTAAATAATTTAAATAAAAATTGACAGAAATGTGAATTTTACTTAAATTTAATAATAATACTTATAGTTAATAGAATTTAGATATATTTATAGATATTAATATTTTATTAAAGTTTTAAAAATATTTAATTATAATATATTTATATAAATATATATAAATATTTGATTATAATATTTAATGCAAATAAAAATGTCTTAATATAATGTTTCTATAGTTTCTATTTAAATTATTACTATTATTAAAAATATTCATAATGATAAATTATTTACATATATTTTTAAAATATTCGATATTTCTTTATTTTTTATAGATAAAAAAGTTAGTGGTAAATCTAAAGATGAACAAATGGCAGAGAAAAAACAGGAACTCGAGAAGAGGTTACAAGATGTTACAGGGCAATTAGGCAATGTTAAGAAAACCGCTAAAAAAGGTTGGTACTTTAATTTTCTTATACTGCATTTTTATTCGTTGTAAATATAAATAATATTATAATTGAGTATGGTTATAAATTTATTTTTTTAAATTATTTTCAAATTTGTTTTACAGAAGACAGTAGTAAATCAGTCGATGTAGTTGGGACAGGAGGAGCTAGTGGGCCTTCACGATTGTCAGCGTCAAGCAGTAGTAGCAGTGATAGTGATTCCAGCAGTAGTTCACTTTCTTCGAGCTCCAGTGATTCAAGCGACAGTGAAGCAGGTTAGATATAAACCTCATGTAACTGTTGCTATTATTAGACCCTTACTTGGGAACAATAAACTACTTATAAATGAGTAGTTTTCATTGAAAATATATAAACTAATTTTTCTGTGAGATTTGAAATTATAGGATTATTTGCGATTGTTTATTTGGGGAATGAAAATTTTTAGTCTAAATATTTCACAACATTCATTATCTAGTAATTTATTCGATAGAGCACAGATTTCTATTCACACTTATGCTCAGAGATATTACAAAGACAATATACTTATAAATTTTTAGCAAGCACTTAATATTCCATATTTTTCGTTCCTTTAATATCTTAATTTCTTGTTTTATCATGACAAGATAGTTAAACTGTACTTCTATTGTATATATATATAAACTTGTATATTTCTTCATTTCTGAAATAAGAATATTTGTTTAAATGAGTGAAAAAAGTTTATAATTTTAAATAAAATATAAAAATCATAGACATGAATCTCTTAATTATTTCAAAGAAAATTATTCACCATTTCATGTGGGTACTTGCTAATAATAATAAAAAGTTAATAAAAAGTATATTAGTTTTTTTTTCATTCATTTTTATAGAGAAAAATGTTACTATTTGTGCATGTTTTTTTTTTGTGTATATCTTTTTGGTTCCTATAAAATTATTTTATCTTTCGTTTTAATATTAATAAGTATTTTCTAAATGTATGCAAGTATATATAAAAAGAATTTGAGTGCAACATTATATATTTATATAGATATAATATATTAGATATTTTATTTTAAAAGATATGTGATTAAATAAAAGACATAATGTTAATGCAGCGTTTTTAATTATTAATTATCAATTTCATGTCAAAAAAGAAAAGAATGTTTAAAAAAAATTACAAATAATGAAATTTTTTCATGTGAAAAAATGAAAATAGCATTTAATACCCTATGATTTGGTGATGACTAAGAATTTTTAAAAATGAAATGAACTCTGTGCCTAACTAATTTCGTATTGGCAAATGAAAATGAATATGCTGGTGCAACATTATTGATGCAATATGTATGATGGAAAAGTTGCAAAATAGGTATAAAAAGATTTTAAACTGGGGTTTAATTGCACAAATGCATCGCAAATATCTTCTTAAGCTGCTAAATCTTGCTTATTAATTGTATTTATTAGGACGGCGTTATCGTATAGCTTAAGTGCTGCGTTATATTAATGCAAGTACGAATTTCGTGTCAAGTTTCATTATAAATAAATTTAAATATATTTATTATTATTACTATAAAATTAGCAATGAAAAAATAAAATAAATTTATTTACATTTGTTTATAATTTTTGAATAATATATTTTTAAAAAATTTTTGGATATTAAATTTGAAACTTGACATAATTAAAAATTTTTTATTTAATTTACAAGACAATATGCAATGGTAAGAAAAAAAAGGTGAGCTAGTGGAGTGCAGACTGTGTTTAGAGGATACCATATGCCATGCCAGCTTGTTTCACAAATTATATTATTGATTAAAGATGATTACTTATATTTTCTCTTGCCCTGTCGGTGTTGACAATACATTCTGTTGCTCGAAAGTCAAGTATAGTTTGCTATTCAAGGTCACTGAATTTTTCACTGCAGTCTCGAGTTTAAATATCTAAGGATACATATATTTTCACACTTGGCTCAGAAATTTGAAATGGTAAGGTTGTTCGGTTAGAATTTGAGAAAATTGTATTAAAATAAAGAATACAATAATATATAGCAGGGACTGTAGTGTCAAATATTAGTACCTTGGAGTATACATTGTAGCTTCTCCTGACAATTATATTGCCCTACATAACCCAAGCAACATCATGCAATATATTAACTCTTGCAAATTTAATATTTATTTACATTAATCGATAAGCAGAGCATTACTTGTATCACTGTGTTTTTTAAATCATTAAGTTTGTTTCCTCGCATTGATTCATTCATATCGTATCATTTCTCAGATGATAGTATAATGATATTTAAGAAGCGTCATTATTACATTAAGTGTAAATATGCACTTATTACATGAGTGACGTGAGAACTGTGTTTAGGCTTCTGAACACTATAATTGTTTCCACAGTTTAACTGTGTAAACTTAATAAGTCAATATTTAAGAGAAACAAATTAGGCACTATATTATGATACACACGGGAAACAAATGCAGACAATGTGTATTGGTGGCTGGATTTGCAAATCCACTTTCTAAGGTTACTACAATCCACAGCTTTCGCGTCAAATAATGATTTTAATTAGATACACTCTCGTGTTAATGTCGCCTCCGCAAACAGTATCAGAATTATACATATTTCTTAAGAAATTCTTATCTAATGTTATCTCATATAAAACTGACTCCATTCTTAAATAGGTTTATTTTGATAAAGCCAAAGAAGTGGTGCTTCCTTTAAAAAGTCAATTAATAAGATTTATCACCTCATAAATATGCTTTGGTATTAATAGTATTATTTAGATAAAATGGTGAGATTAAAATAAAATCTTAATTCTTCCTTTAAGTACATCAATTCAAGTAAAATAATTTGAAAAAAAAAAAAATTGTAAAGTGAATTGTAAAGTGCGGAGAATATGATATGTGATACAATCAACAATTTCCATTTATTTTTTTGTAAGATTAATGACTTTGAGCATACAAGGTTTATGTTAACATATCAAAAAACGGCAAGGGGAGTGTACAAATTATAATAACACAGACAGAAAAGGTAGAAAAATTATTTGTAGTAAATGGAGAGAACTCTGAAGACAATTATAGAAGAATTAAGAACGAGAGCAGGTAGAAGTGGTCTACAATACAAGGCACCCTAGCCTCCAAACACATTGTTTGCACTCCGCTAAGCTTTGCTAATCGTCGTTTCATTTTTCTATTTACCACTAGTTCTTCATTGATAGTCATTGTCAGTTTTTCATTTTTAAAGTTACTTGAATTAAAATTTAGTGCAGTTTCGTTTTACAATATTAAATCGGTATCATTATATCAAACGACTATTTCTATGTAGATTGGTGTGGTTTTACATACCTTGCTAAATACAACAATCCTATTTAAAGATAAATTTCATTTTCTTTCAATGATAAATTTCCCAAATTTACATAATGTATATTACTGGTTCAGAGGATTCATGTTGTAAAAATCTCAAATAATATTAATTTTAACCCGTCCTATTAAAAAACATTTTTAGAAAATCTTTTATACGAGTTCGAATGAAGTTAATTTTAGTGATATTTTGTTTTTATATCTCTATGTATAAATGTCTGCTCCATGATAGCGTTTTTTGTTGAAATATCATGTAAATTTAGTTCTTATATATATAGTAAAATATATACATGAAGAGTTATGGACATAACTGATAATATAAGA